GTAACTTCATTGTGGATGGTAACTTATATTGTTTGCTGTATCTGAGGAGAAAAGTCCAGCAGGCCTGCTTTGGCTTTCTGACTTTTCTGGGGAATCTACAGTATAGGCCGCAAGCTATATAGCCTGAAAATACCTCAGTCAGGAATGCGAGAGATGCCTGTCAGCCCAAGAGAGGCAATGGCTGGGGATCCAGAAATCTGAGAGTGGGTGCCTTTGCTGGACCACAGGAGGGAAATACATGTGCCATTGCCTTGGACTGTGATACCCTTCATTCCGCCTCTAGTTATGGCACTCCCAGTCCTACCCCATCACATCAGGGCTGAAAGGCTTCCACAAGCCCCTTGTGGGCTGCTGCCCTCTCTTTTGTATGTTACCTTGCTCCAGTTCCACTCCTGTGTTTGGAGAAGCCACATTTGATCTCGGTGTGTGCATTGCTTGCCTGTTGTTTCCTCATTCAGCAGAAACTAGTGCGGCGTTGTGGCCCCTCCCTGAAGGTATAATTGAAGAAGGTACAGCTTGCTGACTTCTTTGTGGGTTTTCTGTGTTGTCAGAGACCAGTTGTTTGTGAACAGAACCTGTCTGGCAGGTCTGATTTGGGTTGAGTAATAGGGAGCGGCTCACCAACACACAAAAACCAGAAGACTGACGGCGAGTGGGCTTAGTTTTCAGAGAGCCCTTTGCCTTTTCTTCCCACAGGCTTCTTCCTCTCTTTCTCCCTTGAACATGGAATCTAGATTTGGAGTTGTGCTGGTTTTAATCTTGGCAGCTGCATCATCATCTGCCCAGAAGGCCTGTACCTGTGCAACCAACAGACGGACCCAATGCAGTGAAGACATATCTGGGAACTGCCTCTGCAGGTCGGTGGGTTCAAATCAAAGAGTGGATTGTTCAGTGTTGACTTCAAAATGCCTCTTGATGAAGGCAGAAATGAGCCCCTCGAAGGCCAGGCGCTTCTCCAAACCTGAGCTGGGCTTTCTAGACAATGATGGAATTTACAATCCGGACTGTGAGGACAGTGGTATCTTCAAAGCCAGGCAGTGCAATCAGACTGACACTTGCTGGTGCGTGAACACTGCTGGTGTGAGAAGAACTGATAAGGGTGACAAAAACCTGAGGTGCAGTGAACTAGTCAGAACTAACTGGATCTTCCTTGAACTGAAACACAAGGAGAGGTCGGAACCTTTCCAGGCTGCTGAAGTTGCCAGTGGACTGAGGCAGATAATTCAGAACAGATACAAGCTGCATCCAAAGTACATCACTGCCATTGAGTATGAATACCCATTCATCCATATTGACCTGAAACAAAATGCTTCCCAGAAATCCAGGGGAGATGTCGATATAGCTGATGTGGCTTATTACTTTGAAAAAGATGTTAAAGGTGACTCCATATTTGATCCTAGTAATGCATTCAACCTCTCTGTTAGCGGACAGCCTCTGGATGTGGAAGGAATTTTAATTTACTATGTGGATGAAAAGCCACCTGAATTTTCTATGAAACGTCTGACTGCTGGCGTTATTGCTGTGTTGGCAGTAGTGATATTGACTATTATTACGGGGATTACTGTACTGGTTATTACCAGAAGGAGGAGGACCGGAAAGTATGAGAAGGTCGAGATCAAGGAGATGGGTGAAATGAGACGAGGGCAGAACTCATAGCTTCCTTAATCTGAAGGCAGAAAGTAAGACTTTGATGAGAAGGAAGCAGAATGAAAATGGCAAAATTATTCAATGTTTCTGTGGGGAGTTTGGGGTATTTTTTATTTCTAGTTTTAAAACAACGATTTTCTAAAATCCTAAATGATCTTATTATAAAGTGATATTAGCTAGTGTAAATTAATTTGAGAGTTGGTTATCAAAAACACTTGGAAAGAAAAGTTGAGCACTCTAGCCCAAAGTTTTCCAATTATATAGTTATATATTAAGGGGACAAGAAAGTTATTTGTACTTCCAAACATAGCTACTTAGCATAATTTATAATTCCTACATTTGTATTACTAAAAAGCCTGTAAAACTTGTTTAAACATTTTATGAGGCCTCTTTTTTTTCACACCCAGGTGCTGAAGCTTTCACTGTCTGACTCACTTGTATAACTAAGGTTGGCTTTCTGGTTTCAATGAAGTTTTTAAAGATACCACCTTTGATGAAGTTGCTGAAATGTTTTTGTTTTCACCAGCTTTGCATTTAATAAATTCTACCAAAATCAAAACAAACAAAAATTGTGATAATCTCTTCCAGCCTTTACAGCATCACCACTTTCTGTGTGGATTCCTTTGTTTGTGGAATATAAATATGCAGCTATTCTGAAATTTGACCTTGGGAGTTGATCCCACACATGCTTGCCAATGAGGGTCTGACCACTCATAGTCATAATAGAGTCAATGGGCACTTTTGGTAAGAGTGAAAAGGCTAAATCTAACTTTGCTTTCCTGGCCAAATACCAACTCAGGACATTGGTTTCTGTCTACCTGAATATCCCTTGCAGATTCAGTAGGAAAATTCTTCACTGTTTAATAGCTTACAGCAAAACCACAATATTTTAGGGTAAGTTGTGAAGAAACCGTTCCCTCATTAGAGCTGCAGGAGAAACTGAGGTAGGCAGAATGAAATTACCCAACCCAGAATTTAGCTAAGACATCAAAATTGATAACAAATGGTCTGGTAGCACTTTATAGACTAACAAAACATGTACAGTAAAACTCCAATAGTCTGGCATCCAACTGTTTGGCACTCCCGATACTCCGGTATCAAAATGCCAAGCACTCCTGACCAGCTGATTTAAAAGCTTGCTGCTCAGCAAACATGCTGGCTGTAACCAGATGGAGCATAAGGTTGGGGGGGGGGGAAGGAGTGGGATCGTGTTACAGTATGGAGAAGAGCGTTTTGCTTCAGCGAAGAAGAAAGGGGAGAGGAGGGGGACGAGGATCAGGTTACAGCACGGAGGAGATGCGAAGAGGAAAGGGGAGGGGGGAGGGAGGGAGATTGTGTCCTGGCCAGCTGTTAAGCCGTGCAGCTGTACCAGACCTCCTGATTCTCCGGCAAATCTGATAATCTGGCACCACCTAGGTCCAAAAGGTGCCGGATTATCGGAAGTCTACTGTAGATAGTATCATGAGCTTTCGTGGGCACAGCCCACTTCTTCAGATGACCAGAGTTTTAGATGAAACATCAGGTCATCTGAAGAAGTGGGCTGTGCCCATGAAAGCTCATGGTACCATCTACATGTTTTGTTAGTCTATAAAGTGCTACCAGACCATTTGTTGTTTTTTAAGTTTATCCTGTACAGACTAATTCAACTACCCTCCTCCCCTTTAAGTTTATCCTGTACAGACTAACTCAGCTACCCCTCTCCCCTTCGAAACATCAAAATTGGTCACTACACACTACCACTATTCAAAATCTTTTTGCTATGTAGCATCATCACTAAAGGACAAATGGAAAGAAAAAAAGGGGGAGGGAGAAGGAATAATGGTAATTGTTAAATGGTGCAATGCCGGCAGAATTAGTGCATTCTCTGGGCTGTTGATGGACATCTAAAATTATATCAGCCTAATTAGATTTCATTCAAAACATGACCTCTTCAGGCAGCATTCCAATAGGGTCAGCTATCTAATTCACATCATCTGGCCTCAATTTAACTGTTTTGCAAACCTATTAAGGATCCACTGTTGTGTGGCTCTTATGGATAATTGTTTACTAAATGCATATTGAAACCTCACAGAATTCTACTCCAGTGTTTAGGAAAAAATGACATGTCTTCCCATGGTTATAGGACTCATACTGGAATGGGCACTGGGAGACTGGGTTCTATTTCCAGCTTTGCCAGTGAGCTACTGTGTGATCTAGGACACAATACTACACCTTTCTGTTCCTCGGTTTCCCCATCAGTAGTATGATGCAAATCCTGACTCTTCCATACTTTAAAGTTGTTTTGAGATATATTGATAAAAATGGTTATATAGGAGCTAAATGCTGTCATTATTCACCTATCTATGGAAACCAATTGGGTTTCATTGCAGGAAAACCAACTGATTGCAGTGGTTCCAATAACAATACAGTGTGAAAGCGGATGCATATTAATTATTTCACATTTTCCTGCCTTTATAGCAAATTAGATTTTGCATCATCCTGCCAAAGACATCAATGCACTAAGAATTTTGGGGTTGGCATAGCCCGGTCCTGGCCAGGGAACCCCCAGTGGCTGAGCAGTCCCACTGGCAGTTGGGTAGTCCCAGCTGGGGAACCCTGGAGAACCCCAGGTGGCAGCGAGGTGGGCAGTAGGGCAGGGAGCCTCAGCTGGGCCACCGCCAGACTTGGGAGCACCAGATCCCTGAGAGGAGCCCAGGATCAGGGCCGAGAGCCTGTAGGGGAGCATTGACCTCCCCTGGTCCAGCAAATTCCTTGGTTTGGGCCCACGGAGGTTCTAAGTGGGAGCATTGACCTCCCCTGGACTAGCAAGGTCCGAACGTTACTGGAATGGATTTGACCTAAAAGACCTATGTTCTTTTATTAGTCACACAAACCACATCAGTTCCTACTCTAACATTATATCTTGGCTGTTCGTATGATGCAGATTAAACTCTCTTTCTTATGCACGCAGAGCCTTAACAATGAGGAACTGAGTGTGTAATAGCCGTAGCCACTTCTTCAGCCCCTGAACTGAAAAGCAGGGGTTTCACGCCCCAAGCACCTCTTGTATGAGGATTTGTTGCCACTGGATGTGATTGTGGAATCAATGGCCACACCCCCAACTCTCCATAGCCACAGCATTTCTGGTTTATGTGGATTCTGTCTAGGGTTGCCAGGTGTCCGGTTTTCACCTGGACAGTCAGCTATTTCTGGCCTCTGTCTGGTTAAAAAAAAAGAGAAAATACTGGACATGTAAAATGTCCGGTATTTTCTGTTTTTCTTGGAGGGAAGGCCGACGGGGACATTCTTCCCTTGCTGCATCTGGTGAGGGTGGAGGGAGCAAGAGCGGCAGGAGCACGTGGATTCTTAAAGGTGCAGCAACCTTTTTTGTTCTCCTTTTTTTTTTTTTTTGCTTAATCACATTTTTTTCCTACCATGTTTGGGATTTTTGGTGAAAGCATCTGGCAAGCCTAATTCCATCTTTACCATGCAAGTGTTTCAGAGTCTCCTTGCACATTAATTTTGCGTTGCCCACTCTAGTGGAGCTACAGAGATTCTGTTGTATTATGGACCTTTGGTGGTGGAAAGCTGCTTGGTAAATTTCATGGTGGATAAATTTAGTGTCATTATTTACATCACAACTCCAGTTTACTGGAGTTTGGCTATTCTTTTTCTCAACTCCATACACATACTATATGCCTAGCAATGTCAGCTTTAAAGGGTGGGAATTCCAAGTAGGTTAATCCCTTTGAAAACAACTGGGCTGGCTGTTGATTTTTTTTTTTAAATTGTCCATCAGTTGTCAGAACTGAGTTTTTATGAAAAATCTGGTCCGCGTTATGAGTGCTGAGCACTCAAATATGGTCTTGGATTATTTCACCCATGAGAATATAACAAGGGAAAATGCAACACTATAAAAAAACTTGGAGAAATGATTTGATTCAGATTAGCTATGTCAATCGCTTAAATTGGGAGATGCACTCAGCTCATCAAGATATATCTCAAGTTGTATCTCATAAACGATCACAGATATAATATTCTGAGCATCTGTCAATGTATTTGGGGAGACTTCTTTTTTAGAGGATAGTGTAGAGAGAAGACATTTGTACAGTATCGTCCATGCTATTATAAATCAGCAAAGAACCTCTGACTTAAACAGATGGGTGGTGGTGGCTGTGGTCAGTTATTTCTTCTTGTGTCACCATGAAGCTTTGTGCGTAGCTATGCTTTGAGCAGCCACCAAACTGCTGCAGCCACTGAGTTTATGAGCTGTTTTGTTGACTCTTCCAGCCAAGCAGGCAGAGTAGCTAATCAGACAGCATACTACGGGCCAGCAGGGCTTGTCAGTTTGCCTGGAAACGGATTCTGCAATAGCTCCTGCTTCCAGACAAGATCTAAAGGTAACTTGTACTTATGAGGGGAAGAGGCAGAGGTTTGGGAAGCTCTTTAGTACCTGTGGCATTTCTTTCCACAATCTTGGACTGGCCCCTGAGAAAGCTCTGTCATGGCCCTTGAGCCCACATTGTATTCAGGCAGGTGGTTCCAACATTCACCAGGCTGCTGTGGCAACATGCGCCCCAAAAGCTGCCATCCTTCTGGAACAGATGGCGCAGGAGAATCCTGGTTTTGGTTCCTTTTCTCTCACCGTGCTCCTTGGGCATGTCTGCACTGCCCCACAGCTCAGACTATGGCACACCAAAGGGCTGCCCTGTAATTCTCCTGTGTGGCCACTGTGGGAGTGATTGTGAATTTTAAGGTTCCTAGTTGGCGCTAATGTCTTCTTCATTAGTACTAACTAAGGACTTTTAAGTTTGAGCTTGCAGCGCCTACCGGAGAGTTACAGAGCAGGACTTTGATGTCAGCGGCTATAGTGGTCTCTGGAGTCTAAACTGTGAGGCAATGAACTGGCCCTGAGGAGATCTCCTCTGAGCTATTTAAACTGGGTTTATGGCCAGATTAAGCCTACAATATCATACAAAGTAGCCACAGCACCCTGGAGGATTTTCCCCCTTTCTCCCATGACATGTGAGAGAGCAGTAATATACATTGATGTATTTTATAATAGTAATAATGAGGTATGTGCCCTCTACAAAGCATTTAATGCTCAGGGATTTATACTGATAAAAACAAAATTATGTAGGTCACTTGGTATTTAATCCACTTTTTCATAGGATAAGTAAAGAACTAACAAATTGGCCCTTAGTCCCTTCTTCCTTAATTGGGCTGGTTAATGCTATTAAACTGATAATCCTACTCATGCAGGTATAATTACCCTTTTCAAAGTGTTCCCATTGATCTGCCTCAGGGTTTTTACAAATCGTTAAGTATTGCAAGTGCCTCTTTTTTATGGAAAAATTAATCTTGAGCCATTACAAATGCCTATCATAGCAGGAAAACTCAACTTTCCCAATTTTTGCTATTATTATTTGCCAACCCAAGCGAAATTCCTCATACCACGGTTTGTCTAGATACAATTTTGCACGTGCTGAATGGCATAACAAGATCCACATTCTTATTTTCATGACTGTCCTCTCTCTCTGTGGGAGCCACTCATGCAGTCTCACTCCAGCACACTTCAGAACCACAGAAACAAT